ACCAAGTTGGAACTTAAACTCAGGCTTAGGATTAATTTCCTAACATTTTTAAAGTATACCTTTTTGTGTATTTTTTTGTGCTCTTTTTTGGATGGCGAAGTTAGTTTTTTCAAATATATTTTTTTTGTTAGATGTTTTCGGAAAACCCGGAAAAAATCATATGGGAAAAAAATTAAAAAAAAAAACTACGCCTTCCGGTTTCCTGCGAATTCCCGAAAAATTATGGCAGATTTCGTCGCGGGATTTATTTTATTTGATAGCCAACAATAAAATACGCGACTTCTCTCATGGGCACATATGTCTAATATTTATAATTTTGCCACAAATTCATCGCAAATTTCATGTCCATGGTTCTGATTCAAAAAAGAAAAAACTACTTTTTGGTAAAACCACTTCTGGCGGCGAGAAATTCGCCATTAAAACTACCTGTGCAATGAATTTCCGAACCTTTTTTGCCTCCTCTTTCGAATGGTGCATTTATTTTCACTATCGGAATGATACTTGCCCAGACAATTAGCATTTTTACAATGGAAAATTCCGGAAAACCCGGTTTTTCCTAATTTAAAAAAAATTGAAAAACTGCTACATCTTTTTTTTTCTTTTTTTCGGAAAGATCACATCAAAGTACACAAGGTCCTTTTTGTTTCATCTAATTACAAATTAATGTAAGCTCGAAGGGGCTTTTTTTCGTTATTTAATTGGACTATAAACATTAAATACTCATTTTGAAAATCGTTTATATCTACAGTATTATAAAATTTCCTAATTTTTCGATTACTTCTATAAAACTGGGAAGCAAGGCGGGATCACCATAAAAATCTGGGATCATATCTAAATATTTATCTTCTAATTCTGGAATTGTTGGAACCATTTTAAATTTATTATTTGAAATTAAAATATTTGAAATGTCTAAATTTGTTTTGTTTAAATTTGAGTCAGAATCTGTATTTGAATCAGAATTGTCTGAACTTTCAGAATTGATAATTAAAGGTTGCTCTCTAAACGACATATAAAACACTTACAGTAAAAGTAGTTTCCACTCCATCTATTCGATTTCCGTCGTCAACCAAGGACTGGACCGGGTAGACTCTTCAATGTTCACTTGAATGTCTTTCTTAACTCGAATAGCGTTCTTCACGTTAGGCTACTCAATTCACCCAACTGAAAAACTTCTTAAACACGTTTTAAAGTTCAAAATGGTCAAAAAATCGTAGAAACGAACCAGGAATTATGTGCATTAAACCCGTTTGTACACTCGGTATTTAGTTTTTTAAAAAAGATTTATTTAATTTAAAGTACAACTTATCATATCAAGAACAGATTCTTAACTGAATTATAATGAAAGGAAATACCCTACACCCGGTGGCATTACACCTAAGGTGGAATGACACAACTTATCTAATATAACAGTCAGCAATTCCAAGGTTCATCCACGAGGTTGTCGACTCAGGGTTATTGACTCTATAACTTATATATATTGGAGCTTGTTATTTTTGATATTTAAGGTTGGAGTTTTCTATATATGATTTGTTCATAAAAGGAGATTGCTGTTTATGATAGTAAAGTCGGGTGTGAAAACATCCAGGACTGTATTAAATACAAACACAGTTCTGCTCACTAATTAGTCTGTGATTAACAGATACTAAAAACAAATGTTTTTCATATTGTCAATAAACAATGTGTCCATGGGCGCCAAGCAAAAAATTGCTGGGATGCAAGTCTTATAGGCAAGTTCAAAATGCCGCAGGCTATAAACGAAAGCCATAGCGAAAAATCCAAAATTGGAAATCCAGGGCGCTTGCCGTCAAGTGGCGGCGCCTATAAATGTGTCACTTAAATGAACCATTTGTTGTCAGTTCCATTTTTCAAAACTATGCACAAAATTACAATGCCGAAATACCTTATTTTACAGAGTTCTCTGCAAATAACAGTATAAAATTTTACCTTTTTAAATTCCACAAGACATTTGATGGTCTTATAGGCCTCGACAACCTAAACCTTTTGTTTATTAGCCTAAGCACAAAGGCTGTGCATCTTGACCTGGTAACGGAATTGACGGCAGATTCATTTTTAGCCGCACTAAAAAGATTAGTCAGTCGTCGCGGTAAACCCGCCAATATTTTCTCCGACAATGGCTCTAACTTTGTAGGGGCAAATAAAGAATTATTGGAGTTGTTTAATTTTTAAAGAAAACTAATCCTCACATAATTAAAAATTTATCAATAGAAAAAATTCAATGGCATTTTATTCCGGCCCGTAGTCCAAATTTTGGGGGAATTTTGGAAGCTGGCATTAAGTCTGTGAAATTTTATGTAAAGCGAGTGATAGGCGAAATCTCTTTTACTTATGAGGATTTTCTTACAATTTCAATTCAAATAGAGAGTAAACTAAACTCCCGGGGTACCAAAAAGTACAGTCTGGGGTTTCATAAACGACTGGATTCAGGAACAACATATTAATTATTGGGGAAGCAGCCCAAAGCAGGCACATAAAAAAGCCTTCACAGGCAGACGATGTCCCAAAGGAACTGGAGAACTACTTTTTATGAATAGGAACCAGCTGAAAGTGATAACAGGGTTCATGACTGGGCACGCCCCAGTAAAGGGTCACTTGAACAAAATTGGCATGTACAATGAGGAACTCATGTGCCAACTATGTCACAAGAAACCAGAAATGGCCAAACACATACTGTGCGAATGCGAAGCTCTAGATCGCAAAAAACAGCCTATGTTTGGACAACCCCAGGTTGATCCAACAACGTATAGAACCCACTCACCCAAGGATCTGTACAAACTTATACAAGGTATAAAGGTGACAGAGTAGGTGCTATGAACTAACATGGGGTAAAACACAATAAGCCAATAGGCTTCAGTGTTATTCGGAGATATAATCAGGAGACATAGTCAGGAGAAAAAAAACTCCCGTTCTTTAACACCATTGAATTATAACCCTAACGATCTAAGTTCCTTGACTCTGGGACACTTCCTGATTGGTCGCAGATTAACAGCAGTACCAGAGCCTAGTATAATAGAAGTACCCGAAAACCAAATAAATAAATTTCAAAATCTTCAGAAAATTGTCGAGCATTTCTGGGTTCAGAGGTTTTAAAGATTAGTTCCTTAGTACTACTACAAGGCAGCAATACTAATTTTGTTTCTGAGTGGCAGCTAGCTCGTGTTCTAAGACTGTATCCTGGACCAGATGGTGTTACTCGAGTGGTAGATTTGAAAGTTCGTGATGGAGATCTTAGGCGACCAGTAACAAAGATGTGTGTCCTTCCTTTAGACTAAAGACTATATATTCTTTAAATTTAATTTTTTTTTTTTCATTATGTTAAGAACAAATTGTGTTAATTATTGAAAAACTCTTAGTTTATTCAAGGCCGGCGGTATGTCGGATAATTAAGTGCACGGTGGCAACACCGCAAAGAGACAATCGTGAGATTCAGCGTTATAAGCAATTATGTAAGACGTGTTTAGTTGTTCGAAGTTTGTGATTACAAGAAATTAAAGTTATTACAGTCCATTTTGATTATTTTATTATTAAAACTAAGTTTACGTTACATCATCCATAACATAGATTGTCAGTCAATATTATTTTTAATCTGATATATATATTTTAATTTTATTTATAAATAATATAAAAATTATTAAAGGTACACGTACCTACATAAGGAATGTCTTATCTCTGCTATCAGAGTAATTGTTTTGAAGTGGTCCTATTATTTATGGAATCTTAACAACGCATTTACGTAATTGAAATTTTAGGTATATATAATAATTATTTAGTATTTAATAATTATATCGAAGTTTTATTTATCAAAATGAATTCCTTCTTAGCAAGCTTGTGTGTTTTTATTTGTTTTACAACAACTATTGCATTTCCGAAAAATGGTGAGTTAACTGAAGAGACAACTGATGTTTGAAAATATTGTATATATTGTCACGTTATGCGTGATTTTATAAAACAAAGTTTTACGATTTACGTGTTTTAAATAATTGTGGGACTATCTATGTCCCGGGGGTTATATAACAAAATATATGAATTTGGGACTCAATCACATTAACACTATTTAGCCTTAAACTTGGCTTCGTAGCCCTTAACTGTATAAGAGTTAGAAACTGACACGTCTCTGTAAAAGGGCTGAAGGAAATACAATGTTTTCTCAAAACAAATATAATATTATAATTACAACGATTATATAAAATATGTCTCAACTCGACATACACAACTATAGGCTCAATATAATATAAAAGACAACAAAATACTTACTTACCAACTCCGCTAATCTTTGGGGCACATGTCACAACCCTTAACAAACTATTTAAAAATGTAATTATTTGAAATACTAAAAAACGACTTTTAATTTAAACTATAAAGATTATGACCTGAAGCTGCTACAGGGAATCTCCTACAAGGGGGATCTCCTAAAGGGAGGATCCGTTCCCTGTAGAAAAAGCCTCGCGCATCCCCTCGACATTACCTTTATAACTTTCTCATAGTTTATTCTTATTAAAACTAATGTTTAATAATTATTAAATAACCAACCTTGCACATTATTGCTATTTAAAATAAATTGTTGACATAATTAAACAAAGTTTTATGTACAGGATGTTATTTAAATAATTAATTAAAATTAGGAAAAATATGAATTTATACGAATCGTGACAATATTATGGTGTAAAAATATACTATTTTATTTTTTGCAGACACAAAACTTCGGTCCCACACATTTACACTAGGTGAAAAAGCATATTTTATAGATTTGAATAAAGTAAGTACCTATATTTATTGAAGAGTATGAGAGAGTGTAGTTTTAATTTCTATCTCCTAATTTCATGCTCCTTGAGTTTGTTTTGGCATTTTTCCACTCAAGCAGCATTGTTTATTCTAAGCGCCCTCGCTCTAACTCTGTAAAAGCGGTATCATAAACAATGAATTGGGTAATGAAACAACGAGTCAGTCAGTTAGCTACAAGTTGTAGAGCGGAAAACTCGAATCGATTTCTATATAGAAGATAACGTTAAAATGTTCCAAGTAAAGAAACTGAACCATGCCGGTTCTCATGCCGAAAATCGGGGGCGTGTATGCCTTTTATGTTTACAAAAAGGTACAAATTTCGTGAACATTCAAGGTACATTAGCGGGCAAATTGAAATCTCTCTTGAATTTTGAAATCATCGATTTCATGCCGAACGTTTTGTGCTGTGCGTGTAAAACAAAGCTGTACCGCAATTTTACTGCAGGAAACGTGGCCAGGAATTTCAATTTACCAGATTATTCACTCTTCCGCAATGGAATCAACACGAATTCAAAAAGTGTGAAAAATAAATGTTTGTGAATTGGCCAGAAAGCGCTGTTTGAAATATGTTGACAAATCAGAAACAGACCGCAATGCGCCACAAGAAGCTGGTAAGAAAAAAACGTCGAGTGAAAAGAGATGTGTGAAATGTTTGACACTGATTGGCAGAGGTAAGAATCACAATTGCACTAAAACAACTCACGTAAACAGCATAAAAGATTTTATGGAAACTATGGAGCAAAAGAAAAGCGAGCAATTGACATTAATGATGTTGAAGCATACGCATACGATATCGCAGGCTGAAGAAACGCCAAGTGGTGGTCGGAACAAGGATATCTCTCTGTCTCAAATTCACGGAAAGCCTTTAAAATTAAATATACACCAGAATCCCGGGCCTCAGACGTCAAATAATCGTGTCATTTCTGTAGAAGCAATGTCCGCAATTCAGGATAGTTTCAATTTGAGTTTCAACACCGTGAAAGGAGTCGCTTGCGCTCTGCGTGCTTCCACGAAAAATCGGGAAATATTCGAAATTAACCTGGAGGAAAAACTCGTTGCTCGAAACCATCTTCTGGACAAATACTTTGATGTTACTTGTTTGGATTTTATAAACGTCAAGGCCAGTGTTGAAACCGGAGCTCCAGGACCAGTTGCGTTTTGTAAGGACTTACATGGTTTGATTGAGCACATAAACGAAGAAAGGCAATTCGGAAATTTTACTCAAGTTTGGAATCGACGGAGGTGGTGGATTTCTGAAAATTTGTCTTTCCATGCAACATAACCTTCCTCCTAAAAAAAAAGTAAACCCATATAAACCTCTTGTTCTGATAATAAAAAGGCTGGCTTCAACCTATCCATGTTAATTATCGAGTCTTTACCGTTAATTAAAATTAAAAAAAAAACTTTCGTTCCTAATAATAACTTTATAAGGCCCTTCGAACTGAGGCGTTAATAAAGGCTTCATGCCCTAGACTCTAACAAAAACGAAATCATTTTTCATCAGTTCTGGTAAAATAAAAGTTTTCGTCATGTCGTGTCTAGATACATTAGTGGGTTTAATATTATCAAAATTTTGTTGTAGTTTAATTAAAAATGAATCAGTGTCGAAATTTTCGGTATCATGTATAGAAAATTCTCCTGGTAATCTTAATGTTTGTCCGTAAACTAATTCGGCGGAGGAACACTTCAGGTCTTCCTGTACCGCGGTTCTCAAACCTAATAGAATTAGTGGTAATTCTAATTTCCAATTGCTGTTACGAAGTTTGGCTATAAGCGATGCTTTTAATATCCTATGAAAACGTTCTATCATTCTGTTAGATTCAGGATGGTAGGTAGGGGTATGTAAATTTTTAAAGTGAATCTATCTATAAGCGTTAATAAATATGAACAACCTCCTGAAGGTTTAAGGGATACAATAATATCTATGTGTATGTGTTGAATCTACCTTCTGGAATTGAAAAATCGCCTGGGGCTGATTTTGAGTGTTTTGAAATCTTAGCTTTTTGCCAATTGATTCAAGACTTTGACCAGGAATATATATCTTTACTCATTCTAGACCAAACATATCTATTTTTAATAATCTTTAACGTACTTTTACCTCCTCTATGTGCCAAGTTATGTACTTTAGTAAAAATACTATAACGTAGTAGCTTGGGAATGTAAGGTTTGAAAATATTATTATTGTTTCGCACCAAATTTCTGTTGGTGGAAAATTAACTTTTATTTTTTGTAAATGCAATTTATTATTGTTATTCTTTGAATTTTGTTTTTCTAATAAACTTTTAATTCCAAATCTGACATCTGTTCGTCTCTTACCATTTTTAAATCAATTTATTTTTAGAGAAAAAAGCGATGGGTTGTCTAACGCCGTCGATCTCTTGTTCAAAAACGCCGCCTACACAGGAATCACTAGCATCTGTTGTAAGTGAGAGAGTAGCTTCCTCTAAAAGATGAGCTAGCAAAGATGCTGTAACAAGCGATTCTTTCGCTTCATTAAAACTCGTTTCATAATTACATGTAAAGGTGCTAAAATTTGAGTAAATTTGGGAACAAATTTGTGGTAAAAATTTAACATACCAATAAAACGCTGTAATTGTTTAAGAGTGGTAGGTTAAGGAAAATCTTTAATCCATTCGATTTTTTGGTCGGAAGGTAATAATCCCTCCGCCTAAATAGTAAAACCCAAAAAAATTATCTGTCGACTCCAAAAAAGCATTTGCTAGGTTTGACATTGATACCGAAAGAATCTAATCTTTGGAATAAAATATCTAAATGATTTAAATGTTCGGCTTCATTTTTACTGGCTACTAATACGTCATTTAAGTAAACAAAAATGAAATCTAAGCCTCTAGTGACTTCGGTAATAAATCTTTGAAATATCTTGCCAGCATTTCGCAATCCGAAAGACATCCTAAGGAATTCGAAAGATCCAAAAGGAGTGGTGATTGCCGTTTTAAAGATATCTTCTTCTGCCATTGGGATCTGGTGATAGGCTCTGACCAGATCGATTTTTGAGAAAAAGTTGCAGCCGTGACATTTAACATTGATATCAGAAATCAAACTTATCGGAAATCTGTCAGGCACTGCTTGTTCAAAAATCTATAGTCTCCACAAGATCTCCAATCATTTGAATCCTTTTTTGGAACCATGTGCAAAGCAGAAGTGACATAAGAAGATGAGGGTCGGCAAATGCCTCATTCGATCATCTGTTTCAATTCCTATTTAGCAACTTTATACTTATTAGAATCTAAACGTCTAGGTTTGCAGAAAGGCACATTACCTTCAGTTACGATATGATGTTTAACGTTGTGTTTCGAAGATAAATGAAAATTTGGAGATGAAAAAAAATCCAGGATATTTTTTAAATAATTCCGTATATTTAGTATCAACATTAAATAGTTTAAATGAAATGTCTTTAGTTTTAAAATTAAAAATATTTCCAATAGAATCTAATGAAGTTTCACTATCGATTATTTTAGAATTTTTAGTCCAAGATTAGGCCAAAAACTGTTAAAAAATCTGCGCCCAAAAATGGTTTGGTTACGTTTACGATGGTAAAAAGAAAAAGAAATATTCTTCGTAATCCCACACCTATTTTAAGGAACTTTTTTCCATACGTACGTATTGTATTGCCAGAAGCTGAAGGATAAAATATGTATTCATTAATCGCCACAATAACATAAATAAAAAATTAAGATATAACATAGACATAAAATAGAAAAAAATTGAGATATAACATAAATATAAAAATTTACGATATCACATAGATATAAAATAGATAGAAATTAGTTATATTTTTGTAAAAGAAAACGATAAATTACAGTGTGTCACTTGACATGGTTTTTGGTTCTTCCTGTACACTTAGAACCACATTGAGTGAATGTTCTTCATCAACGGCTGTCCTCTTGTGTCCAGGGTATCTATTCTTGAATAATAGGGAGTAAAAATTTTGAGGGAAGAATAAGAGAAACATACAAATTTTGTATTTTGCAGATAAAGATAAAAAAACCGATTTTCTCTTCCCTCTAATTCAAGAATAGCTACCCAGATCTGAGATTGTTTTTCACACACCCTATTTCATTGAATTTGGTCAAATTTCTGGATACTGTAGATTTTGAAATCGAGTATATCCTGTCAAGCTTTCTGCGGAGATCTTTTTCTGTCTCCAAATCCAATAATCATTACTAGTTTAATTCTTTATTAAAGTCCACATCGCGTCTAAATATAATTTACCGTCTCTACTTTATTTTGCTTGATCCGTTAGTTAACGTACTGTATATGTTCTAGAAGTAAACCTAGAAATTTTACCACTTGTCTGGAACTTAGAGTGTCGAAAGTTCTACTTCCAACTAATTGTAATACGTTATTTTTGTATTTGTAGGTAACTTTCGACGAAGCAGTCGATTTTTGCAAGAACAATAATCTAGAATTGGTAACTATAGAAAATGAGAGTGAAAATAATAATCTATACCAACAGTTGGACGCTATGGGGAGTAAGTAACTATTTAGTTATATATTTCTTAAATAGGTATATATCAATAATTAATCTGTGACGTTATGGCTTACTGTTAACTAGTGAATGAATAAACACTAATCACAGAAAATACTTTAATAATTAATAATGATTAACAATTCAGAAAAACTAGAAAAATGATTGACCTGACGTTCTTCATCTATCAAATAACTAACTTAATGTCTAGGTACAGGACAAGCATGTAGTCTACGTAGTATTAATGAAATATGCTAACATCTCTATTTTTCTTTAATTCAAATCATCATATCCGTATCGTTTCGGTCTTTGTGTAATACGACGAGGTCAATTTGAAATGTTGAAATGTTGACTACTTGAGCTATCAGTGGGGATATGGTCTGGTAGAGTTGTTGAGGTTAGTACTAAATTAAACTTGTCTGTTAAAATATCTAAAGGTAACTTTTTGGTCTGTAATTGTTACAGGGTACTTTCAAGTTTGTTTTCAGCTGATTTACATGAGCTCTGACGAGATTATTTTTGTTTTCTAGAAAAACATTATGCATTATATTCCCTGTGCGTTCTATAATTTTTCCTGTAACCATTCCTCTTCATTTCGAGTAATTTTAACGAATACTAAATCTCCTGGAGTAAAAACCTTCTGCTTCGTTTCATGTCTTTTATTAAATTGATTCTCCATCCGTTTGTTTCCTTGTTTGATTTCGTCGTCTTGTATATTCGGCAACAATAGGTCGTTCACGGTTTTAATATTTCGATTGAACATTAATTCTGCAGGTGATTTGCCATTAGGTGCATTTCTATTAGGTGTTGTTCTATATGTTTGAAAAAAATAACTGTTAAGTACGGGTCTGCATTGGCGTTAAAAACTTACTTTTGACAAGTTCTTCTGAATTATATCATCGGTGTGGACACAATAAAACTAAACATGTTTTAACCATTGTTTATAGAAGTCTTTAGGACGTCTTTAGGGATCGAAATAACTTTCCAAAACTCACAGAAACTTCAAAAATCGCACAAAAATTGCTAAAAATAACGACAAACACAAGACAACTAAATGTCAAATGTCACAATATTTTAACTAATGCGCAGACTCAAATCTACCTGGACATTTACGATATCGTAAGCGTTTTTCCTTGCCACCCGGGCAGCCATTTTCCTATCTTCCCCTCTTCAAATCTATGCTCTTGGCCTACAAGTGGACTGATTTTATTGTTGGCATAACATATATTCTATTTGATGAATAAATAGTTATATCTCTGTTTGCTATGATTCAAGTATACTTGGACTGACGGTTCGTCTGACATTTGCCGTATTTTATAAGGAGAGTAAACAAAACATTATTTTTTGTTTCTTAATTTGGCATATGTGCCGTGCATGGGTGTATATAAATAACACCGAAAAAATTAAAGGGGTGATTCTGTGATGAAAATTAATGTGAGTGTTTGGTATAACATTTTTTGAAAAAACCCTCCCCGGAAAAGTTACACCCCTTCGAAAATTAAAAAAAATAATGGTTTTTCTTTTTTATTTTCCCTGTATATCAAGCTAGAGACACGAAACTTGGTAAACATTATCTGTCAATAAAAGTACACTTTTTGAAATTTTTTCAACCCTGAAGTATGCTTAGAAGGGGTTGAAATAATCAACCCCTAAGATATTTTTTCTTACAACTTTTTTTAGATGAAAATTTTTTCTTTAAAAAAGTATGACTGAAAAGCCCAATTCATTGACTAACTTTTTTAACTCTACAAGTTTTTTCTAAAACTTGAGCATTTACGAGAAAAAAAATCTAATGCAATGCATTTTCAAAAAGATGAGCTAACGCGAGTGTATTTTGCGTCAAGTCTAGTGGCCTGTGCTTTGCATAAAAACATTAATACTGATACCAGGATTGTGTAGTGTCATTTTCTGTTACCCATCTTATTGTTTCACAAGTTTTATGATTGTGTATTGTATGAAATATTAGTTGATTGAAAATATGAATGTATATTCGAATTTGGAAATGGCAGATATGCATTTTACATACGGTCGTGCTAACGGTAATTCATTGGAAGCGCAAAGACTTTATGCTGAACAGTACCCAAAGCGTAGACTACCCCATCATACTACGTTCACAACTATTCACCGACGCTTGCGGGAACGTGGCAATTTTGAAAAAAGAAGTTATGATTCTGGTCGTACTAGAGAAGTTAGAACTGCAGCTGTAGAAGAAGCCGTACTTAATTCAATTGAAGAATTCCCAGAAACTAGTTCCAGGAGAATAGCTCGTGTTCTACATGTAAGCCATTCCGTTGTTTTTAGAATTTTAAAAGAACAAATGTATCCCTATCATCTTCAACGGGTGCAGGCGTTAATGATTCGAGATTTTTTACCCCGTGTGATTTTTTGTCAGTGGCTTATTAATATGATTGGCCAAGCACCACAGTTCTTAGGTAATATTTTATTTACTGACGAGGCGAGTTTCTCAAGAGACTATTAGAAATTTTCACAACAATCACCTTTGGGCTGACGAAAATCCTCATGGCTTTTTTGAAGGAAATCATCAGTATCAATTTTCATTAAACGTGTGGCTCGGAATTATTGATAATCATTTAATTGGTCCCCATTTTCTTCCGCTACGATTAAATGGTGAAGCATATTGTCATCTCCTTGAAGAATTACCTGTTCTTCTTGAAGAGGTTCCCATTCAAATTAGGCAACATTTATGGTTTATGCACGATGGTGCACCAGCTCATTTTAGTATACGTGCAAGAACTCACCTGGATGAGGTGTATGCCAATCAATGGATAGGTCGAGGAGGACCTGTAAACTGGCCAGCCCGCTCCCCTGACCTGAATCCTTTGGATTTTTGCATATGGGGATATCTGAAATCTTTGATATACACAAACCCAGTTGAAAATATCGATGATCTGCGAAATTGCATTGTAGCAGGGTGTGAAACTATAAGAAATTCTCCAGGAATATTTCATCGTATACGCAATTCTATGAGGAAAATGGTAGATGCTTGTATTGAAGCTGAAGGCGGTCATTTTCAACATTTATTATAATTGTATTGTCGATATTCAACAGGTTTTTGTTAATTGTTTGTTCACTTTTGTTTTTAGTTGTAATTCATAATTTGGTTGGCTGTTCTTTAATAAAATGCTATTTTACATGAGCTTATTTATTTTTTTCTCATAAATGCTTAAGTTTTCGAAAAAAACTTGTAGAGATAAAAAAAGTTAGTCAATGAATTGGACTTTTCAGTCATACTTTTTTAAAGAAAAAATTTTCATCTAAAAAAAGTTGTAAGAAAAAATATCTTAGGGGTTGATTATTTCAACCTCTTCTAAGCATACTTCAATTTCAAAAAGTGTACTTTTATTGACAGATAATGTTTACCAAGTTTCGTGTCTTTAGCTTGATATACAGGGAAAATAAAAAAGAAAAACCATTTTTTTTTTAATTTTCGAAGGGGTGTAACTTTTCCGGGGAGGGTTTTTTCAAAAAAATGTATACCAAACACTCACATTAATTTTCATCACAGAATCACACCTTTAATTTTTTCGGTGTTATTTAGATATATTATATATTGATTATTCCTCACATAACTGTTTTTGCAATAATTGATAATGGAAGAACTATACGCTCTTAATAGCGCAGTGATACCGAGAGCGCTTTGTATTTTATAATAAAAGAATTTTTGCACGAAGTACAAGTTTTCTTTGTTGATCTTAGCTAAGTGCACACATTCGTTAATCTCTTTTTTTTTCAAGCAAGTAGTAGGTGTGTACACACTTAATGATGAAAAACGCATTTAAAGTGTACAAAGCTGTAAGAATATTTAAGATATATATTTTTTATTGTCAATATTAATAACCATCGGATATAATTTTACATTTAAAATGTAACGTCCATTTTTTTAATATAAATTTGAAATCTGATGACCGTGTTTGTCATGAATAAATTAACACCAAATAGTCGCCATCTTTGCCAAACTATCACGCTGTGGTCACGCTCTTGCCCCTTTTTAGCTTTATCACTTATACTTGAATTATTGGACTATTTTTTTTTAGAAAGGACCACGCACTTTTCTTATGCAAACGGTAGTACCGTCAAAATGTCTGAATTTTTGATGTGTTAAATTACTTGATGTCCCCATCAAAAGTGTCCATGGGCCCAATGGTATCCTATGACTAGATCTTTATGTTTCTTGATATAAAAAGTTATTTTTTAAAAACAATTTTTATTTGAATTTAAATACAATATGTGTTTTCATCTACAAGTCTACAATCATTCTAATGAAAATATTAATTATTAAATGAAACGTTAACTTTTGCCGAATCAGCACGTGTGACGTGTCGGCGATGTGGTCGATGTTTGATTCCATATATGGTGATGTTTATGGATGGTTTCTGATAACGTTCGTAGTTCCTATAACATAACTCCTCCATCCCCAAAAGGAACTCAAGGGTGTTACTGAGGTGGAACCACTTGAGTTGCGTCAATGGCAGAAGGCTTCTTCTTCTTCAGTTTTAGAAATTGCGTGATTAATTTTCTGTTCCTTAGTATTAAGTATATAAGGGTCAAGCTGAAGAGGGACGAGCTAATTCCTGTTGTCCATTTGAAGGTTGTGGTATAGTTGAGAAATTCTTGTATAGGCTCGATACTATCTTCATTAAGTTGTATTTTATGTAGTTCGTCCAGATGAATTTTGTGGAGGTGTATTTTTTGTATGCTGATGGTGGGGAATGACATCTCGCCGATATTTTCTAGTTTGATAGGGTGACCCTCCATGATGCTTTTCTCATTTTCATAGAAATATTTCTTAGTAGTTATCGAACATTTCGGTGGAATTATAAATAAGTAGGTACCGTGAAGAATGGAAACATCTGTTTCTGCGTAATTTGATTTTATTTTCTCTGGTTCTGGAAAAATGCCGATGTAATGGCTTTCATTGATTTCCTCTAATAATTGGCCGGAGATTCGAACAGGTATCTGTCGACATTGTGCAGGGGATGATGT